AATGGCATTGAGAACTTAGAACTGCTTCAACAGATTATCTAAGTACAATGTTTAGGTACTTTTCACTCAAATATGTGAGCGCTTATTGCTTTGCAGCTTTAGCTAATGACGTTTTGTCAGGTTTTTTAAATAGAAGTTATTCGGGTCCGGTGCTTTTTGAATTGTACGTAATGCACTTGCTGCTTGGCAGATTTTGTTAATTCGTTGAAGGGCATGTTGCATTACAAAGAACTTGTGCAAAGTAACATACCGAGGGCCTATTAGAGGTTTAAAGCTAAAATAGAATTGACAAGTGCATTTGTAAGCTGTTCATACATACCACGCAAAAATAGAAGCATTTCTCCTCAAATTTTTTAGTTCTGCCGTCTGACACTGATTGCCTCGTTCGGGAACACATTTTCGCTGTCGGCGTTGACAATTGACCGTAAAAAACATCAGTACTCGTGCACTAAAGTAATGCTTAATACGCACTGTTTTTATATTACCCGGTAACAATCGGGAGATGGCACCCAAAAAATCATTTACCTAGAAATAATAACTTTAACAGTGGACTCAAACGCCTTCAGGCTATATCAGCGGTTGCAGGCCTACTTTTACGCACTACGTGGACTTTTCCGACGGCATAACATGGGCTGGCCGTACGAACATCGCAGGAAGTTACATGGACGATGGTCGCTGTTAACTAAATTTCCCCATCGTTAAACACGTACACGGCATACATTCGCATTATAGCAGTTTATTACAAAACAACATCACTTTTAAATAGGACAAGTCTGCACAACATGGGACAAAAACATTTCCCAGGCATCCGTCAAAGACATGCTATTGAGGCCAAATCAAAGACGATGCTCTTCTTCGTCTATGTGAGCCCACAGAGCTCGACCACATACAGGATCTCCCTCGTCGAGTTTCCTTTTCAGTCTACGCCAGTATACCTCAATGGCATTGGCATGCCGTCCGGTGGTAGGGTCCTTTAAGTTCTTTGAGTGGTTAACAGCGAAATGTAGATAACCTTCAGAGGGAAGACGATTATACGCCTTCCACTCGTCTGTTACCACTATACTGCCTTTGGCGACCCATTTTGTAATAACGGCACGGGGAGCGGGCCAACATCGATCATTCACCTGTTCAAATAAGACTTTCCGTCGGCTAGTATCGTACATCCCGACCAGCCACCACCCATAAAACCCCCATTGCCACCTGTCCTGTAAGACCGACTGCTGTGGTTAGGCGGATTTTTTTTGGTTGCCATCTCCCGATTGTTACCTATTACCCATTTAGGAAGTAAGCTTTCACCATAGGCATGCACTTCAATGTAACCGCCATATACGTAATGTGGAGTTAACCTTATTGAATTTTCTGTCTAAATGCGCACTGTTTTACTGCTCACTTAAATCACAGGCTTCAATTTTAGCACACTTTTTAAAGTGTTTTACGGCCTCAGACATGACGTCTTCTTAACCGGCATTTAAATAACACACGCTACTAAGAATTTGATAGAACAATTGTCCCAGTAAAGTTGCATTAACGTCTGGCATACACGGTGTTTCTCTAATTATTTATTGAGCCTGTAGTACTGACTTGAATTTAACACCAGTGCACGTATAAGAATAGATGTTTTTTTGAGAAATTAACGCTTCTCTTCTAATGTACTATGTTTAAATCCCAACACTTGCAAATAACATCGTAAATTGCATAAGATTATATGCATTTCATTGGTTTTTGTGTAGTTAGTTATTCTTTGACAGTTTTAGATAGACGAGTTAAGCATGTTTTTTGGGCAAATGTCTAATCTGTAGGAAATCTTACATTTAAGATACTAGTTTGCTAACCCCTGAACGTGGACCTGATGATTTCCGATTGAAGTGCAAACAACTCTTATCCTTTAACATGTTATTCCTAATAGCCACTAAATGACAGTGGTCTCGAAACACGTACCACTTGCGCGTTCCATAGGATGACTGGCCTGCAATAAACTAACATTTATCGCATCGAAAAACTGAGGATTATTTCAAAATAAACCAGGAAATGTTAATATCGTCTTGTTAAAGTCAGGGTTCTTTGGTTTGTAAAATCAAAAGTAATTATAATTTCCCGATAATTTTGTGCTATATCAGACAAATACGCATATAACTACGCAAGCTTCAAAACAAAGGCGCACACATTGTGTAAGTCGTAATTTGAGAATCTGTAAATTAGACAGGACAACTGACAACTCACATCCAAAAAAGACTATCTTAACATATGTGGACTAAAAGTAAACAATACTGCACACTGAATGTACCAAAACCATAAATAGGTTTCTGTAAGTAGTGCCGCCCTCTTGCACAAGGCGTGTTTTCTATACACTCTTCTTGCTCAACTGGCCAAATAGTTTCCACGAGCAACCATCCAATTAAGCCACACCCCAATGCTTTGTGCGATATCGCGATAACATACTTGAGGAAGCAAAACACTAGCATTAAATTATATTTATGTCGATTATGGCTTGCATTATCGACACGAGAGGATTCTTTGACGTTGCATGTAATACTTATGGCCGCACAGTGTACTGATATTACTTTTTTGCAAGCGCTGACGCGGTTGCATGGAACAGCAATGAGAAAAAGACCCGAAATGTGACGATCGAGGACTGACTGGCTAATCATAAGAACGAGCCTGCCCACTGAGCGTTCAAAACCAACTAGCTCGATCTAATCTTCTGCGATTTCTTTTTATTCCCAAGAATGATGTATATCCTAATAAAAACCGGTCTCGCAACGGAGGAGAGGTTAGGAAAAGGTCACCGGCGTCATGGGACAGTGCTAATACCAAAGAACATAGTGTTTGATAATGCTACAGCATGTAACCCCCCGGGTAACTGTCCAAAATGTGTCCTATTATCTTGTCTACTTAGGTTTGGTTCATAACGGTTTTCCTTGCAGTAGGTCGCGTAGGAGGTTATATGATATGCGGATTCTGGACCTCATTAGGGTAACTGGCGTTAAAGTTGTCCAAATCGAGCTTAAACATAGGGCTGTGATAAGGATTCGTGTAAAGATTTGGACTATTTTTACGGCTATGGTTCGGGATTATGGTTTAGGTTTTTGGGGTTGGGACCAGAGTTCAAAAGCTTGGGTAACATTTACGGTTACCTTTGGGATTTCTCTAAAGGTTCAGGGGTTAAGGATTAGGATTACTCATTGCAGACATAGCCACTGTTGATGCCAGGGTCTAAGTCAACTACACTTTTCCCGGGGTGTGACATACCATACTCCTGTTAATTTTTTTAAAGTGTGCCAAACCCCGTTGAGGCAAGTGCATATAATCTAATGGGCAGTATGGGAAAAATGCATGCGACATAAGTAGTCATTTTTTACCGAGCACGCTTTCTACAGGAGATCGAAAATGAGTGCATTTTAAAGCCGACATCCTGCCGAGTCCAAAATGCTATAAGAGTATGCCTTGAGATAATCATTAATGCAACCGCGACCAAGTAATCGTTCCTAATCGAAAACGCATTTCTGAATTTCAGCCAACATTTCATGAGATAGGTCACGCACCGTATGCTATCCCAAATTAAATAAGTGGACAGACACTTCACCTTTTTCAAATGCCTCCTCGTACTCCTAGGAAGCAAAACCAAAAAACTGCCCTTTCAGTTCAATTTAACTAAATAACTCAAAGGCATATATGAAAAGCAAAGTAAGCAATAGCTAAACCTAGTAGATGCAAAGCACTGTTGATACCGCGCATCCTCAGAAATGCAGATGATTCCGGTATAAAAAACACTTATCTGGGCAGGCGTCTCTATCTCATCCACAAAGAAAAATGAATTCCAACCTCACATACTTTTTTTCCCATCGGTTAAATTTCTTTAACTTGGGACAACGTTTATCATCAGAAAGATGGGTGAAATCGTATCATTCCGCAGCGCCTGGTGCTAGAAAGCTTAGGAAAAATCACTCATTCATACATCACTAGAAGTTCTTATAATATTTTCCGACCAGATTAGCCTCCAGTATCTTACTCTTTATAGGATGTTCCGCCAGGTCTCCCTAGTGTTCACAAATTGCATAAATGCGCTCTGTTAAACTTACTGGCAACCCTCGCAGATTATGCGCATTGCTCTATATCTGGGTTTTAATATATTGGACAATAAATCAGGAAAGTGGCCAAAAAGCCTTTCAACCGCGTGAGCCGCGATCTGCTCCAATCATGGTTCGCAGGTCTGCGATCAGTCAACAAGCGCATTGACCTCCCGATACTATATTCGGTGCTGAGACATGCCCTGAGCAGGGGTGTCAGTCACATGGGGGTGGGCGTAGTCGAGCAACAATCCCGGTGACAGTAGGCCAAATTGCCGAATAATCATCACGCCAACATGCAACACGCTTGACGGAATTGTGGCAATTAAATACTCGGACCCCTACGAGCGATAATCGCCTCAATTACGACCCCCAGCGGTGATCACGAGAGTTGTTAATTATAGTAAACATGCGGTTCCACGACAGCTACTTAATGCATTCTTTGTGGTACCACTACTCTCACCTGCGACAGTCTGCGATGAGTGAGACCCCGAAACGTCAGGCCAATAAATTTCATGTTCGAGCGATCGAATCTCCTTCTTCTGAACTGCTTCCTGGAACTCGCTTTTTCGCGTCTATCGAAAATGGCGATCGCCAGATCTGATGTTTCTTTCGTAACTGATATTTCACAATCTATTTTTCCTTCATGGGCCCTTGTCACTCCATCCCCCTCTTTTGAGATTGAAAAAAGTCCTGATTGATCAGAAGAAGAAGCGATCGCTGGAACAATGGCTTTATTCGCCTGACGTTTCGGATTCTCTCTTGAATCCATCATCAGAGACAGTTGCAGAAAAGGGTGGCTGGTGTACAGGCAGTCGCAGTATTTATAGGATGCGGTC